ACTATAACAAGTCCTGCAAAGCCAATTCTGTCAGCTGTCTGACCAAACACGCTGTATCTACTATTCCATAGCGCGACGTAATTTTCATGCAATATTTTTTAAACAATCCTGCGTTAATCCTTGTACTGTCAAACAACGATAAAATTTGTCAAATATCTAAATAAATTATACAATTTCGAAACGCTTGAGCTATCATGCTGTTATGTTTAAACGGAAGTACAAGACAAATGCTGAATTTTTGTACAACGAAAATAAATACATTTATAATGTATAAATGGCATAAACAATGAATTTCTAGCATGTTCTATATCTTGCCACATGATATATAACAATTGCAAATCTCTGCAATTATTATTTAATTCATTTCATGTTAATAAATGTTTATTTCTACATTCTTTTTTGTTTGGATATTATATAGGTGTGTAGGTGTTCTGTTTTACTTATCTGTAATGATCTCATAGTGTGTAATGATTCACATAGCCAATTTTTCTTTCACATAGCTAAGTTTATTTTCTTACATCCATCTATTGAAGGATAGATAAACGCAGCTACAAATCCAATTCTAAAGGTTTTTCTCGGAATGATGTCTAAAATACTTGAACCATGACGACAAGAAAAGATTTTCCACATAAAATTTTAATCTTATAGACTCTCTCTTATGTTTCGTCGTGTCTCAGATTGCTTGATGGTTGATAAATTCTTAACACGGCATATGCATTAATTAAATTTTCCCTTTGCTTCTTGACATGATTCTTTATGAATTTTGTAATTACCATTTCGTACAGAAATACCTTCCTTCTCAAACTTCACCAAATTATTGTCAACTTGGTTCGGTATTTTTCCCTTAGATGTAGATTGCACCACCGCGTACGTTTCTCGGTGGTGCAATAATCGCGATATACACCGGCACTTCCGTGTCAACCGTTTTTCCTGCGAAACGGTCGGATCATTTCTCTTCGAGACGAATAGCGGACGCTTTTCTTTTCTGACGTATGCCTCGCTAGCTCCAAGTCCGCTCTCATTCGACTAATTAAAACGGCCAAATTCCAAGGTAATTCCGTGTCCACCGTAGTAATGGACACTTTTTGCGATCAAGTGCTCAAGGCTGCAGCGCAAAGGGTGCAATATTCGCTTCTAGTCTACGCGACGGCGAAGATAAGTGTATCGTCATAACGCAAGTCACCGTCCAACCGCGTCAAACGGCGGCGAACGACGTGTCCAATTACCAGAAGTCAGCGTAAGAGAGAGAGAGAGAGAGAGAGAGAAAGGGAAAAAACCTGATACGGGAACGAGCGCGAATCCAGCTTTTTCTCACCTGGCTGAAAATGAATGGGTTGCAATTTGTCGCGCCAGCTACTCGTCCATAAGTCATTGAAAATTGTCATTGCAATTTATCACGAGCCCGGCGGGAGTAATTTTATTTTCAGCGGATGGGAATTCCAACGGGGTGATCAGATCCATCGTTACTTTCCATTAAGCGCGATTTACCAGCGATAAGGAATACCAGGCGCGTTCAATCATTCTGGCAATTACGGTCATTGCGCGGCGAAGTTCCTTTGTAAACTTCTATCGAGGAAGTACTTTAGCGAGACCCATGCCGCCCCTAAACGAATGGTCTTTGCGCCGCACGTTCGCACGGCGTCTGTCCACGTACGGAAATACTCGGCCACGTCGACGGTGGGGGTGTTTGAAATCCGTGCGAATTACAAATATCAGCCATTTGAATAAAGGAATACATCCATATCGTATCGCGGTAGCTTCAGCGAAGAGATTTTCGGTATCTTGCCGCGTGCAGTTGCAGTCCCTTGGAAATATCCGTGACAATTTCTCGAGATCAGGTTGCCAATTGTAATTCAAACGAGGATTCCACCCTCATATTTTCGATCGTGGCGCGCAAGAAATTTTTATTCGTCATGAAATACGTGCATCGATTACCGTATTGACTGCCGCCTCCACGCAATCTATATACGATCCGTCTCATAAAGTCGCGAGATATCTATTCATTTTATGGACTGAATTTTATTAACTGACGTGTAAATACACACACACAAGCGCGCGCGCGCGCGCGCGAAGAACGTTTAAATGAATCGTAATATTCTAAAATTTTCTACGAATGTTCATGAGTTTCTAGAATAAAGCACACATCGAGAGATAAATAGAAATATCACGAACAAATTGCACACGCTGGAAAGGAAGACCGCGTCCTTTGTCACGATGCAAAAGCTCTCCAACGAAATTCCTCGTTTCATGTTATTCTATGAATAGTGATCGTTCCATCCTACGGGGCCAACAGACGAGTCAACAAATTCTCGTTGCCTTTAATTCATTTCGCGAGAGATCCGACAACGATTCGAGAGATAAAGTGACGATGTGTTCGTGTTACGCGTAATAACGTATCGTCGGAAAGTCGAAGTGGGGAATCGGTTTTTATA